TGAAAATCTATAAATTTATTAAGGTAAAAAATTAAAAATGTTATAATATAAAATAAGTTATTAAAATCTATAAATTTATTAAAATAAAAAGGTAAAAAGTATGTTTTAGCCCAATTCGCTCCCACTCTTTTGAACTTGTTTGTGGGCAGACGAAAATGGGCATGGAGGTACCGGTTCAGTTCGGTTTCAGGCCTGACCGGTTACTCAAATCGAAAATGATTGGTTCTAATTTCTAAACTTTTAAAACCAGTACCGATTCGGTTCAAACTTCTGAGAACCTAGAACCGGTATCCAAGCCGAAGTGTACTGGACTGGTTAAATTAACCCCAAAAAAACAGTTGACATAAGGCTTTATTTTATGTGAAAAGAAAATATTAGGGTGTTTTGGTATAAAAAAATTAAAAAGTTTAATTATAAATATTAAACACGTAAATGATTTATCTAACTTGTGTTTTTAAGGTATAAGTTAAGGGTGTAATTAATACACTTTTTTAACATTAATTAATATAGAAAATAACAAAAGTTATACGTAAATTATTTATTTAACTTGTGTTTTTAAGATATAAATTAAGAGTGTAATTAATACACTTTTTTGACATTAATTAATATAAAAAATAACAAAAGCTATATGTAAATGATTTATCTAACTTGTGTCTTTAAAGTATAAGTTAAGAGTGTAATTAATACACTTCTTTGACATTAATTAATATAAAAAATAACAAAAGTTGATATTAATTTTATCACCAATACTACATGTATTGTTTTAAATTGACAATTGATTAAATAAATATTAAATTTTATTTTTTCAATAACAATTAATATTAAAAAGATGTTTTTAACTTTATGCCTTAAAGACACAAATTAAAAGAACTCATATGTAAAATATAAGATAAATTTTAATTTTATCAAATTCATCATTTAATTATTATTAAATATTTTGATATTTTCAATATTAAAAAATCTTGATTTTCCCTGTTTCCTTATTTTATTTTATTTTAAACATGATAATATTAAGGGCAGCAGGAATAGGTTTGGGAATGAGAATTAGATCAAACTAGGACATTCTATCCTGAATCTGCGACTGTGCACTTTTATTCCTAAAGAGTATCTGCTCTATTATAAATGTAAAATTCTAGATATAATTTACACTTCAAATTTCGAGTTGTATATCTAATATCTCATCACATTGTAGACAATGCCCCTAAGCAGTGCCTGAGTCTTAATTCATGCTGCACATTCTTTGCATGCTCATCTTGAGTGATGTTAGTAGCCGATGTCTGATCTTCTTAGGCTCCATGTTAGAGACGTTGATACTGCTAATTGCTCTTGCCCATATTTACAAGTTTCCAATTGCGAATCATGAACAGCTTCTGGTACTTGAGTCATGAATAGCTTAGAGACACTAGTTATCCCACAAATCAGTTAAGCTGACTTCTGGATCTGATCGGAACCAATAGTCATCATCAATCTGTGATGGATAACACTGAAAAGGGTCAATTAAACTTCCTTTGCTCAATATATACCTTGTTAAAAGAGTTCAATAGCGCTTGAAGCTTGAACATATACTTACATCACAGTCAGAAGGAACAATCTTCTGCGTCCCAGTTGCCACAGAGTGGAGTAAATTGAATGTTCGTGTACCAGAAGAATTCTTTTGACTACCAATGTCTTCAGGACACAACCCACCATTTTCTATCCTGCATGGAGCACAATTCCAAGATGGATCCATTTGTCTAGCCTGCTTGACATTCGTGTCCTCACCTTGACCTCCATATTTGCTACAAGGATATTATGAAAAGTAACTCAACAGAATAGGGAACAGTAAAAGCATTTATTAGGATAGGGATAGTGGTATGGCAAGAGTTCTACATATCATTACTAACGACAAGGGTCAAACATCAAGCTGGGCAAAATCAAATGTATCTCTACAGAGGAATGCTGCATGCATCTAAAGAATTCACATACCTCAATAGGTACAGATCAATTGGTCCAGTAGAACTTCTAATAGTCAATTTATACTGCCTTTGGGGAAAACCAATGTCCTGCTCACATGAATAACGAGCCAAATGAATCAGATACTAATGCTTTTTAAACACATTAAACCCCAATTCATCACGCTGCTCTCACCTCATCAGGATCAGGAACTTCAATATAGCTAGTTTGGGGAGCTTTAATTGCAATAATTGTTTGATTCTATGAGAATAATAGGAAAAAAAATGTAAAGTTTGAAACAACATCAGAGAGAAAACAAGTTTAAAAGAATTCTCAAATACTACAGATAAATTACCTGGAAGCAAGGAAGGCTCATGATATCCTCCTCTGTCAAAAATGAATACCTTCAGTCAAAATGTTCAAATTATGTCAGAATAACCCAACCATACATCTGATACAGGTAGTGCATGAAGAAGAATAGAGTATACTTCTGATAATTTTCATCTTCTTCTAGAGCCTTTATATGCTCTTGCCTTTTCCTAAAGAATGAAAAAGAAAATACATTAGCACGTTGGATAGGTGAACAGTGTACCACATACAAGTATATCTGATATCATTTACAAACCTTATAGCTTCACTGAGCCTGCATTCTTCCGTAGATAAACTTTCAACCTCAGCCTGTAATAAATCCAACTGGCATTAGGCAGTTAGAAAGGCCAAGCTGTCACAGCATGTTTCTTCCATGAGGGACAAGCCAGTATTTGGCTTAATCAGTCATTTTGCTTAATAATTGACACTTAAAGTTCCAGAGTCCGGGCAACCAATGTACAGCAGTAGAAAAGCAGTTAATAGGAGGAGAACCAAACAGCAATGTAAGGTTGTCCGCACCTTTAACCAGGTAAGTTGATCACCCAGCTCCTTTGACTCCATATTGTCTGATCCCCTGTTCATAAAACAAGCTGCTTATTATAAATTTAAAAATTTGCAAATAAGCTTTCACAAAAGATCATGTATTATTAATTTATTACTTCCAGCGGATGTGGTTCTTTGAAGTTTTCTCTATCAACCCAATTCCTTCAAGAACATTTGTGATATCATGTATCCTCCTTTTCTGAACCTGTCAGAACCAAGATAACATATAGAGAAAAAATAAAAGGATCCATAATTAGCTCAATATTAGATGTGCTGCAAAATCAATTTCTGGTGCAAAATAGGCAGTTGATGAGTATTTTAATAGAGTTTCAAAGAAGAAATTTTGTCATAAGATAATAAGTAATGGTGTTTGCCACGTCTGGGAGAAGAAAAACTTTCCAGAATCCCTACTCCCTATCCATACAACATAAGTTACTCCACTTTCACCCCCTAAAAAGGAAGAGTGAATGCATTCTTCATACCTCCAACAGTTCTGCAGTATGATTCAAATCAAGGGTGCCATCCTTAGCCTGCTGGATCAGATTGACAAACTTCTTTGTTAACAAGCCTGTCAAAAACAGAGAGAATACCTGTCCATAACCATTCTATACCCATGAAAGGTGAAGAAAGTCACCTGATCAACAAATTCATAAGAAATGAATGCATATATCTGCATTTTGTAAACAGGTGAGGTGGAGGGGAGACCTACCTAAAGAACTATCAAATCGACAGCTACCAGCAGCATTTAGTCTGATGTTAGACTCTGAGAGCAAAGCTAAATGAAGTAAATATCAGTATGGCAAATAAGACAGCTCAACAATAAGTGCATGATAAACGACAAGGTGAAGCTGTGAAATGACGTACCAGAATTTGAAGTCTGTATCTTAGACTCAGAATGTTGAGGGACTTTCGCTTTACTGTTAGGCTTACCACCCTTGCAAGACTCTAGTCCAAATGAAGGATGGTTAATTATTTTGCTATGTGTAGGTATGTCTCCTTGTCCACTAGGCTTAGCCATGTCGTTCTCTGCTTCTTCTGTTTGTTTTAACTGCCAAGATTATTCACAGGCTTATATATAGTATTTATGAAAATATTTGAGAAAGGTGACATGAAAAAAAGCAACCCAAAAATGCAATGCAAGGACATTGAGAACTAGCATTCAATGAAATACTGAGAAACCAAATTTGCAAACAAAGCACCGAAACATATTTCAATTCTGAATAAGTTAGCAAAATGAATTCCTTGAAATGCCTTAACAACCAAGCACAGAAACATTCAATGCAGATGTTCTAAATATTCCCATATTAGGTGCTTTATTTCTTCTTTAAATCACACACTTTAATTAAACTCCAACTGATTTCTCCAAGCAAACCCAGAATTCAAACTTATTCTCTACCCATGACTTTTTAGTCTTCCTATATTGACCCCAACCAAACTTTATGGTGGGGAAACAGCTTTTGTATGCTAAAATTAATCGCTGAATGGTCAAAGTTTTCTGAATAGAACACGTAAAAGGGTGAGAAAATCAATGCAAACAATCAAGAGAAAAAACTCATGCTATCATAATGAAACATACAGAGAGAAAATTTACTTCCAGCATATTTATCTTAATAAAGTCAACTCTCTAGATCCCACAAGGCACAAATCTTGATGATATGAAAGAATAAAAAAAAAAGAAGAGCCAAACTAGTCTTTTCATAGCCAAAAGTCTAAGGAGTTGGCAAACAAACACCATTCTAGAAAAGGAAAGAGAAGAATGGATAAAATGCAAGGAAAAAAGAACAGCGGAGGCAGCTAAAAACACAGTAACACACCGCGAGCCTAGCAAAAGCGTAATGAGAATCGTTGGTGCGAGCATCATTGTGATTAGACGGTTGAGACGGCATTTCCAAGAAACAAGGAAATAAAAGATTCTCGGGCGAAGGCTGGGGAGACGAAAACTGACTATGAATTTTGTTCGGGCCCTGAGAGAGGGAGTGAGATTGGAGAAGCTGAAAGTGAAACTGTGCGTTGTGATACGAGCAGCTCGGATCTTCGGTAGAGTTAGCCATGAACGCCGGTATTTTTCTGTTTCCTCCTTTGACTTCAGCCGGAAGATCGA